ATGATCATCCACATCTCCTTGCTCAGTTTGATGTCCGGTTCCCAACCCAGGTTACCGCCGGGACTGCTTTCGAACATGAAACCGAAATCTGCAACCATGAAGGAAGATGAATGCAGGATTTGTTCAGCATTAAACAGAAGCAATGTAACTAGGACAAAGTGACCTGAGTATCATCTGGTCAACTGATAGTAAGTCTGAAGAACTGCAACCGTGTGTAGGATTGATACGATGAGGTAGTTTATGTATTGTCGAAGACGTTTTACACAGGCACAGCCCTCGTAAGTAGATTGCTAACCCAATCAACTCGAACCATGTGTTGCACAGTGAAGTTTGGTAAATCGTGTTCGGTAACAAAAGGTAAACGCCAAATGTTGCCGTTGTTGTTTTCCACTAGACACAGAACGGTGTAATGCCACTAAGTTATATCGGCTAAGAGGTTAATTGAAAAACCACTCAGCTATTTGAAAATTATCTGCAATATTATTTAATAACATTTCTTGCTAATTGGATTACAGATAATTAAGGCGTGAGATAGTTGAATGAAAGGTCAGTATGTAGAGACCAGAAAAAACTCACTTTCATAAATCCGGATAATTGGATTCCAACTGGCTTTCTCTGATCACCGACTTTCGCCACTGAGAAGATCACTTCAGCAAGCAAACGCAGGGAGGAGCAGTTTACAGGTCAACAACCTCCGCTAAATGGACATACGGGCAGGGTACCTAGGTCTACCTCCCAAAGATGAGAAAAATTTTCCTACATTATTGAAGGGCTGCGCCTCCAGCCAATAAGTTACTGTCCGATCCACGTTTGGTGAATAAAACTCCGGTTCAAGAAGCCTCAACGGTGGACCAATATTCAACGCAACCACAAGCAAAACACTAAACCCAAGGACCCTGAGTGGCAGGTCTATGGAAGCTCCTGCACAGGTGCTGAAGTCACGTTCCTGTGTTGGGTCTACGCTCCAGTTCCATGTCGGTCGCACTTTTGGGACAAAGATGTCGAAGAAAAAAAATCCTTCGTCAGAGTGGGCTACCACGAAGTAGGTCGTAACATAAAATTTCGGGCAATCATTTAGAAAACTGTCTTTTCATCTTTGTAGTTGTTGTTTTTACTCCGAAATACTAACAGTTGCCTTCTATTTCTATCACTCAGGGTTTAGCAAGGTAAGCCAATCCGAGGCCAGTGGATTGATGAGTGCAAAATCTCCACTTCACTTAGCGCCCTTAAGAGTCCACGTGCTCTATCACAACGACCAACAATCCGCCCTAGCTAGAACCATTGAAAGTTGCTATTTCTCCGAAATCCACACAGAACACCTTACATTACTGAACACACTGATCTTCAGACCTCATCCTCACCTTTCACTCTGTATGCGTCACGCAACATCAGTCAAAACCGAGGCAAAGTTAACGGTTACATAAACTGAAACTAGGGAAGCCTAGCTGACAACCTTCACGTGGGGAGATATTTTCCCACAAAAGTGAGGGGACGAATCAGCAATATTCAGACAGAGTACAAGTATAAGCACAGAGTAAGCATGCCCGATGGGCGGCTAAGATCACAAAACCGGTTGCGCGTTTCAACTGAGAGGTTTTCTAGTCTTTTGTGAATTGTGCACAATAAACCAGATGTCCATCGATATGCCACACATTTCTGAAAATAAAATGCATGCCAGTCAGTGGCTCACGTATGTTACCGGAACCAATTGCTATCCTTCTATACCCGAGACATGCAAACAGTTCAGCTTAGTTCAGTTTGTACAATCGTTAACCATGCATTTCGTGAGCTGATTTTGGTTGTCGTCTTTTGACGAACAGTTACGTCACTAGTTCTTATGGCCAGAGTTACTGATTTCCTAATGTGACATTTTGATTAGTAATCTGCTTTTTGATCCGCTAAACAAATGTCTTAGGACTAGTGTCAATATCGACAATGCTTTCAAAAGGTCAATCGTGTATATAACTGGTTTTATCCGCGCGGGGTCTGTGTACATCAGTGTTGCGCCATGATTGTTTGTCGGCGTAGTCAAAACTATCCTGTTGTCTGGTGTCTAGTGGTGTGACAACAAAAAACAGCTCCCACGGGTATACTGCATAAGTATTCTTTTCGGACAGTCGTATATCACAGCTGAACAAGTGATATTAGCCCCTTGTGAAATCGACCCAGTTGACTTTCGTGTTCAATTTCTGTACAACCACCAGCATGACAGTTCCAAGTCTAGATTACGGTCACTTAATTAATAAAAATAAAATAATAAAACAAAATAAACGACAGGGAGGGAGTGTGTGAGTCACCAAGATCATCATACGGAAAACAAGTGACACGTGTGGTACGACACCACGTATAGTACATGAAGTCCTTTGGGCAATAGGTAAGGGAACACAGGTTGGCCTTGAACATTTTGTACCCTCCAAACACATAAGTTGCTCTAAACGAAATTGTGTATCCAACGGTAAAACTAGTCCAACATTTTCCGATTCGGAAGGTTGAAATATCTTCTAACAAAATTAAAAGTGCTCTCAAAAAGAGAGGAAAGAGGATCACCTAGGTAAGGATTGAGCGAGTTACACAAGAAACTGGGTCTATAGCGAGACTGCGCAAGAAACACATTCACCACCGGAAATTCCGACTTGAACGGATATGAAACTAAGACTGACGAGTTGATCAGGTGGTTCCAAGTGGTAACACAAATATCCTGTGCTAAACTTTGTCATCGAGGACAGTGAGAATATGATCAGTAAAACCATCATCAAGGCCACCACAACCAGATCAACAACAGACAGGATAGAAGTGCGCTGATATGTCCTTAGGTGATGAGACTGAAATATGGTGTGGGACACCCACACGCACGGGTAGTGCACTGGAGTGTGACCGTGCACATATCATCCGATTTACCGCCGCTGATCAGCTATATTCGGGTAAGCATACCTATGCAGCTCTATTCAAATATGTGCAAAAACCGTTTATCACAAGGAGTGCTCAGTAAGAGAAACGCATCAAAACGCCTGAGTAGAGAACTGTTCGAGTCATCTAAATCAGATAAATTCAACAGTAAAAAATTCATTGTTTTCGTTTTGCAGTTATTCCGACTTCGGTTATGGAAATCGGACAGTTCCAACCGTTAACAATGACATTGTTCAGTTTGACAAAGATTTTCCCAACAATGCGCATCCTAATTTAGGACACGAAAGACCGATCGCAATAATTAAAAGCAGAACTCGTCGAAAGAGGGCACAATTTAGGCAGCAGTTCACCTTCAGTTGGACGCAACTTTGACGCAAAAGTGCTTCAGTACTGCGTATGCCAATCGAGACTTGGATATGCAGGCGGCCAATTCACTTTTTATTTCTTATTACATGCATTCAGTGTGATGAACATGTATTTGTGTATTTCACACATGTCTGAGATCAGACTGTGCCAAAAAAATAACGGTAGAACAATCTTTATAAAAAGAAAAACGATCGTAATTTGTTTCTGGGCGGAATACCGCCAGGTTTCCTGGCCAAGGTAGGTGAATTTCCTTGAGGAGTTCACAACTGGAGCCTTCGGCTAGCCAAAGTCTGACCCGCAAGGCAGCAGGGCGGTGTGGGAAAGCCGCAATCCATTGGGGGCCGGTGTCCGGCGTCCAAGGTGCCCAATATATCACGATGTCGAATCGAGTCGGTGACNCCACTACCACGACCAAGAAGATGTGTGTGGTTCGTACGCCTACTCTTAATTGGTTTGGAATCAGGGTTCTTAGCCAACTCCTTTAGGTGAACTGCCAGTGGCTCACCGACCCAGTAATAGCCCCGGATGTTGGCTATTTGAGATGCTCTGTCATCACCATCATCATCGTACAGCTCGGTCGTATGGGAGCATTTAGCCAGGTGCAAGGGAAGGGTGACCAGTCACAACCCGAGACCTCCGACCATACGGAGGCTTTCAGAGGCTATGAGGAACAGCAAACGGGGGGAACTTCACAACAGCGTAGAACTGCTATTTAGTGATGGGAATCGGTGATCTAAGCCAAAGGACTTGGAGTGGCGAACCATATAAGGGTTCATTAGGATAGGCGAAGTATTGAATCGGACGACAGTGAAGCCTAACATCAACGATACTACCGTTATTTCTCATGAAACTGCCCAGTTAGGATCTTCTGAAGCACGAGTAGGTAACATCGGGTTCCGCAGCATAACTTTGAAATTTGAAGGTTTAAAATGAATACCGGGCAGACCTTGTCAGTCTGTCAAGTGTGCTGTGCGTTCTCCATAGATTCGAGCAAACAAGCGCTGTCGTCAGCGTAGCAATGTGAAGATTTGATCAATGTAGTCAAAATCGATATTGGAAAAAATACTCTCGACAACTTTCTCAAAACTGAAGTGCAACACATTGCCTCAGTATGATCGGACGTGGGTTTCTCTAGTCGCAATTGGTTACCCTTCCCTGCAACTGGCGAAACGCTCTTATGCAATGAAACATATCGAATAACCTACCTACTGCCGTCATGTAGCGGAGGACGGAAAGCCCACATCCGGGGCTATAAAGGGAATACAGTTGACCTAGGGAGTTGAAGAATAATCCTGATTCCAAACAAAACGAGGAAGGACGTACAAAACCTCACCCACACCTCTCTGGTTCTAGTTGTGGTCACCGAATTGATTGGGCATCCGGGACGTTTGACCCTACCGAAATATGATTCGATTAACTGGACGACTCCCAACTGATTGCGGTTTTCGGACTGCCCAGTTATCTACTGAGTCAGGTTATAACTACAGAAGGCTCCGGCTATGACATCCTGAAGAAAATTGACCAGCTTTGACACGGACAACCTGATAGTATTCTATTTACAGAGAAACCGCTGCGCAGCCCTATTTGTAAATCTTTGGCTCAAAAGTCGTTGATAGTAATGGGAATATTGATAATAAAAATGATATACGAGTTAATTAGTTAGCGCTCAGGGGCACATTTACTTACCAATATGAATTAAGTGTCCGTGTTTGTCGAGCATGATATTCCCATTGTGACGATCCTTCACTTGAAGCAAATAGCAAAAAACGCTGTAGGCTGCCATACTGAGAATGAAGTTTCGACGGGCCTATGAGCAGGAAGAGTACGATAAGGGAAAACAGAAGAGAATGGCAAGGTAAGCTGAACTTGGTATCAACGAGGCACGCTCACATTGGGTATGTGGGGCGAGATCAATAACAGGGTAAATCGAATTCAAGAGTGGAAGACAGAAGGGAAAAAAACAATAGCTCAAAAGCGATAAAATACAAAGTTCTTCGATGAGAGCACAAACCAATAGACGAGTGATTGGTGAGGAAACAAACCATCAACCGTATTGGTGCTTCAAATGTCAGTCATATAGCTTCGTGGCGGAGCTCCGATTGACAATGTGAACTTCGTGCAACCTGGCACGGACCGAACTACATATCACCGAGCAGTTGACACCTGAGCCAATTATTGGACTGCCTCCTTGTGAAGTTGAAAAAAGGTGTCGCTTTGTGACGCAAAACGTCATTGATAAAATACTGACGGGAAGGAAACATCGAGCTCAGTCATTCGTGGTAGTCAGATGGGGAGGATACAGATTTCTTTGCATGGAAGACTTCTGAAAGCGTTTTGCTACAGTTCCAGTCAGGCATGTTCTCAAAACGGTGGACAACAATTCGTAGAAATGTCAAAAGCAAACAGAAAAAGAGATACAAGTTCAAGTTAGTGTTCAACCGTGGTAAATAAATCTGTCATTATGCTTTCTGTGTTCATCACAATCCGAGAGTCAGATGGGGAAAACGGGAGTTTTGTACGGAGTTATTCTAGCAGAAAAATGTCAAAATTCTGAACAGGTGGATGAATGCGAGGTTCGACATATTCAAAGCCAATGAAAAAATTGTTGCATCGGAAGTCCGATGTGTGGATCCCCGGCTTGGTCGCAGTCTAAGCTGTTTAGAGCGAGACTGGATTTACGAATCCCATCAAACTGATTAATGCGACACCAGGAAATAAGTGCAAAAACACCATCCAATAAGTCGCAATTTAATGACTATTGTATAGTGGAGTGCTGATTCTAGATTCCTAAGGTTATAAAAAATCCTTACAATGTCTGCCAAGTCAGAGACCATAGCTTTGAGGCATTCCAAACGGCAAATCGAATCTGGGATCAGATAAAAAAAAGAATTCAAATTATTATTTAGATGTATAGAACATATTGATCTATTCTTGACAATCCTCCGAGTACGGTCCAACCGGTCGTGCTGCTGCGGCGTCCCACGATTGTTTCCACTTTGTGTCAAACCTGGAGAGGAGCATTCATTCTACAA